TAAGATTGGTTTTACTTCTCATTACCCTACTCTGATTTGATTGGTAATAAATTAACCTAATTTCCCCAAGTTGAGTCTGTTTTGCCCATGACAATAATTGGTGAGTGATCTTTCCCTGTCCTTGTCTTGACCCATGATCCTTTTGTTATACTTTCTCCCCCTCTTCAGCTGAGGAGAGGAGTGATAGAGCGGCTTGGTGGGCCCCGTGCATCCACCCAGGGTCAAACCCCTGCATCATCTCCCTTGGCAGACAGTCCTGAAGGGCAAAGGGGTCCAGGAGGGACGGACATTCTTTAAGAAGGAAATCTTAATGGCTCAGGACCAGGCTATTCCCATGCACCACAAGACGAACCGCCAAGGAAGATGACCGGCCTGGCTGAACAGGGATCTTTTGCTAGGACTCAAGAAAAAAAGGAGAGTTTATCATCTCTGGAAGAAAGGGCAGGCAACTCAGGAGGAGTACAGGGATCTTGTTAGGTCATGCAGAGAGAAAATTGGAAAGGCAAAAGCTCAGTTAGAACTCAGTCTGGCCACTATTGTAAGAGACAACAAAAAACGTTTTTACAAATATTTTAACAATAAAAAGAGAGCCAAGGAGAATATCTATCGTTTAATGGATACAGAAGAGAACATAGCCTTTTCCTCATCTCTGGTGGCAGAGGTACTTAATGCCTTCTTTGCCTGAGTCTTTAATAGTGAGACCAGTTATCCTCAGGGTACTCTGCCCCCTGAGCTGGAAGGCAAGGACGAAGAGCAGAATATACCCCCCTTAATCCAGGAGGAAATAGTTAGTGACCTACTACACCATCTGGACACTCACAAATCTATGGGACCAGACAGGATCCATCCAAGAGTACTGAGGGAACTGGCGGAGGTGCTTGCCAAGCCGCTCTCCATCATCTACCACCAATCCTGGTCAATGGGGGAGGTCCCAGACAACTGGAGGCTTGCCCATGTGATGCCCATTTACAAGAAGGGTTGGAGGGATGATATGGGGAACTACAGGCCTGTCAGCTTGACCTCGGTACCAGGGAAGATTATGGAACAGTTCGTCTTGAGAGCGTTCACACAGCATATACAGGACAACCAGGGGATCAGGCCCAGCCAGCATGAGTTCATGAAAGGCAGGTCGTGCTTGACCAACCTATCTCCTTCTATGACCAGGTGACCCGCCTAGTGGATGAGGGAAAGGCTGTGGATGTTGTCTACCTGGACTTCAGCAAGGCCTTTGACACTGTCTCTCATGGCATACTCCTTGAGAAGCTGGCGTCTCATGGCTTAGACAAGTGTACTCTTCACTGGGCGAAAAACTGGCTGGATGGACGAGCCCAAAGGGTTGTGATGAATGGAGTTAAATCCAGTTGGCAGCGGATCACAAGTGGTGTTCCCCAGGGCTCAGTTTTGAGGCCAGTTCTCTTTAATATCTTTATCAATGATCTGGACGAGGGGATCGAGTGCACCCTCAGTAAGTTCGCAGATGACACCAAGCTGGGCGGGAGTGTTGATCTGCTTGAGGGTAGGAAGGCTCTACAGAGGCATCTGGACAGGCTGGATCCATGGGCTGAGGCCAAGTGTACAAGGTTCAGCAAGGCCGAGTGCTGGGTCCTGCACTTGGGTCACAACAACCCCATGCAGCGCTACAGGCTTGGGGAAGAGTGGCTGGAAAGCTGCGTGATGGAAAAGGACCTGGGGGTGTTGGTCGACAGCCAGCTGAATATGAGCCAGCAGTGTGCCCAGGTGGTCAAGAAGGCCAACGGCATCCTGGCTGTATCAGAAATAGTGTGGCCAGCAGGAGCAGGGAGGTGGTTGTTCCCCTGTACTGGGCACTGGTGAGGCCGCACCTTGAGTCCTGTGTTCAGTTTTGGGCCCCTCACTACTGGAAAGACATGGAGGTGCTGGAGCGTGTCCAGAGAAGGGCAACCAAGTTGGTGAGAGGCCTGGAGCACAAGTCTTATGAGGAGCGGCTGAGGGAACTGGGGTTGTTTAGCCTGGAGAAAAGGAGGCTGAGGGGAGAACTTATTGCTCTCTACAACTGCCTGAAAGGAGATTGTAGTGAGGTGGGTGCTGGTCTCTTCTATCAAGTAACTAGTAATAGGATGAGAGGAAATGGCCTCAAGTTGCTGCAGGGGAGGTTTAGGTTGGTTATTAGAAGAAATTTCTTTACTGAAGGGGTTGTCAGGTATTGGACCAGGCTGCCCAGGGAAGTGGTGGAGTCACCATCCCTGGAGGTATTCAAAAAGTGCGTAGACAAGGCACTTCGGAACATGGTTTAGTGGGCATGGATGATGGTTAGACTCGATGATCGTGAAGGTCTTTTCCAACCTAAATGATTCTATGATTCTATAATTCTATCATAACACCAAACACGTGTTTGATTCTACATATTTCTACTAATCACACAAAATTGATTAGTAAAAGTAGTGCAAGCTCTCCTCACTCTGTACAAAGAAGAAAAGAAAATATGCAAAATATGAGAATAAGATCAGTTAAAATTTTTCAACTTTTTGAGCTACAAAAGATTTAGATTTGATTCACCTTTTGTCAAACTGCTGGATTTCTTTTATAAAGACTATGGGGAGGAAGCTTTACTTAATGAAGATGAATATGTTTGTTTCTGACCGATGGCACTTTAAAAAATGTGAGATCATTACTGAATCAGAATATTTCTTTTCTTCATGTTCACTATGTCCAAACGTTTTCTTGTTCATACTCTCCAGTCTTTAGAACCACATCAAACCTCCTAATGCTCAAATGAAAGGTGAAATAATTTTAATTAGAAACTTCATTGCAAATTACTAAGAATGGGAACTGACAGATTTCTAGCATCTTCACAAAAACAGACATACTCTTGAAAGAAAATTAAAAAAGAAAAAACCCCACACATTTCATCCCCCATAATTCTACATTGTATTAAACATGAAGCATGTTATTAGCTAAGTCACCTATAAAGGAAACCTTTCCCTTCTCATGCACAATCATTTTAATTTAGGTGTTGATATAAAGCATTAGGGAAGCACATGATACCAGAAGAAGCATTGTACCAAATAAAATCTTGGCAATACCGAGCTTTAAAAAATATATGTTGTCACAGCTTCAGCCATAAGGGTGTTAGATCATCACAAAGAAAACTTTTTGTTTTCTTTAACTTAAAGGTATAAGCTTGTACTTTGGATGTGAAAAAGATGTTCATATGCCCAAAAGATTGGCAACTTCTTCAGCTGTAACAGTAGATGCTATCCTTCCTTACATTTAATTCTGAAATGAAGTTACCATACAACAGCTCTTCAGTATTTTGCACTACTACATATAATAATTCATTTCACTGATTTGCTACTTTAATTTTTCCATTTCCTACTAGAATCACCGATTGCTTATCAACTTCAGAAACAATGTTTGTATGAAATCTATTCTGTTCTATTCTGTATGAGTGACATCTTTTTGATGCATACAGTGACTTCTACTTCTGTCACTGCCTGTAGTTTTACTTAAAATAGGTGAAGAAATGTAAAGAAAAAAAATTCTTTTCAGATAGCATTATTTTGTCCCAAATGCAGTTGTGAGGAAAAAAAAATGCATAGAATTGGATACCATAAAATTTAAAGGGGAGTCATGGCTGCGAAACCTCCATAGATACATTGACCACTACAAAGCATGAAGAAATACTTCTTTAAAAAAACAGGTGGGCAGCTTTAATTCTCCCAGATGTTAGGAATATCGTTTTTCCTGGGGGGAAAAAAAAAAAAATTAATTTGAAGAACCAAGCCCTGCACTCTACTTAAATCTCCGTGCAAGCAGCATTTAATTTACCTCAGTTTATATGTATTCAGAGAGTTTACTACCATGAAAACCAATTAAAAATATAAAACTTACTCAAATTCTTAGTCACTAAGACAGTAACAATTTGTAGAAGTGAAGGACTACAGGCCTGGGGTACAAAATTCTATAACAATACATTCTTTTCTCATGTAAAGTCTCATCTTAAACTCTCTCCTTACTGTGTGTTTGATGTGGTTCTTCTGGTAATACACAGTAAATCTCATAAACATGGAAGTACTCTTGTATTCTGGTTCATACCATTGTTGAACTTTGATTTTTATCCATCATGAGTCATCTTATGTAACTGCAATTTACTCTGCTCTTCACTCTATCTGTGTAATAAGAAAGGTCAGTGAAAACCATTGCCTCTTCTTAGCATACTAACCACCAAAGGTCACCTGACACATGAAGTAGCAGGTGATTCCCTCTTTTGCAAGATGGGCACTTAATGCACAACAGCTCGTGGACTTCTGCTATGCTGAGATTATTCTATAGTATCTATACATTCTGAAAGTATCTTACAGACAAGCAGCTCATTCATATTGCCGTGGTTTAACCCCAGCCAGCAACTAAGCACCACGCAGCCGCTCACTCACTCCCCCCTCACCCAGTGGGATGGGGGAGAAAATCGGGAAAAGAAGTAAAACTCGTGGGTTGAGATAAGAATGGTTTAATAGAACAGAAAAGAAGAAACTAATAATGATAATGATCACACTAATAAAATGTACAACAGTAGTAATAAAAGGATTGGAATGTACAAATGATGCGCAGTGCAATTGCTCACCACCCGCCGACCAACACCCAGCCAGTCCCCGAGCGGTGATTCCCCGCCCCCCCATTCCCAGTTCCTAACCTAGATGGGACGTCCCATGGTATGGAATACACCATTGGCTAGTCTGGGTCAGGTGCCCTGGCTGTGTCCTGTGCCACCTTCTTGTGCCTCTCCAGCTTTCTCGCTGGCTGGGCATGAGAAGCTGAAAAATTCTTGACTTTAGTCTAAACACTACTTAGCAACAACTGAAAACATCAGTGGTATCAACATTCTTTGCATACTGAACTCAAAACATAGCACTGTACCAGCTGCTAGGAAGACAGTTAACTCGTATCCCAGCTGAAACCAGGACACATACATATTTCACTTAAATGAAGGAATATATTCACAGCACAGCCAGCTATTTTGGTCTTCAGTAAAGATATGACAGTATAGCTACATTATATTCTAGTCTATATATTCTAGCTTCAAGATGATCATAAAAAATTTTAAGAGTATATATAGATATACTGAGACAATCCTGAAGTGTTGTATTTATCCAGTAGCTCCCTGAGTATTTTCCCTCCTTTCCAACATGAGTGAAGTATTAAGTAGTTTACAACACAATCCATGAGAGAAGGGAAGCGGAGTTTCTTCCTGACAAAACCCTGGCAAATTTGCAAGGCTGTTTATCCCACTGGTTATTATTAATACCAAACTGTGTAAAAGACATACCAAACAGTAGAAGAACTCAGGTCAGACAATGCCCTCAAAAGCTGTAATCACAAATAACAGCATGAAAAGACTGCGGCTAAAAGTAATTAAACTCTGAAGTGTTGGGGTTTAAAGGCTTGCAAGAGGAGCTCCAGATGCACCTCAGAAAACAGTAGCTTTCTCATGCTATTTCCCTCAGATACAACTTCCACAGAAACCACAACTGTGATTTAAGAAAGGTATATCATGCATTTGGGCATGAATCCACCACTCTTAACACTTTCTTGTTAATCCAGTTTATAATCAGTGACAGAATTAATCTCCTAATTACAAAAGTCACCATGAAGTGACAATAGTTACAACCAAAGCAAAAGCAAAGATAGACAAGCTTTGCCTCAGAAGCTCCTCATGCCCAAAATTTCTCCCCTCCTTGTATCAGCTAATTAAAAAAGATACTGCTTCTTACTTGTAACCCTATAGCCCTGTAATGTGGTATTGTTCCTGCTAGAACAGCCACAAGCTTTGTACTGAACCTTGTGAGGCCTCGGGGCTGAGGCTGGCCATGTTTGCTCTGCCTGCACTTCCCTTGCCCTGCCTGCTGCTTGGTTTTACCTGGTTTAGCTGTGAGAGCAATTTCTCTAACTGAACAGATGTCTGCGACTAACTTGTTTTACTTTTGTTATCTTTATATGGTACAACCACCGACAGCAGTTATTGCATGTAGAATGAGATATTTACAACTCCAATATAATGATGTAGTGTAAAGAACTACAGGCTGACTAAAGATAGGAAAGGCCTTGAGAAATGGAGACCCAGGATGCAACACAGAGGAGTACAGGCATGGGATCACATGAGATGGGGCACTGGGTTGGCACTGGAGAACACAACAGCTGTAAGTAAATTCCCAGGGGTCCGTTAAAGAAATGCAGACTTGGTTTTAAGGGTAACAAACAGAACAAAGAAACTGTATCTTAGATACATAAAAGGCACTACATAAGGTACTTTGGATGCAGAATGAAGCTGCAGACCAGTGAAGAAAGAGCAAAGGTATGAAAGTATGTTAACAAACACACAAAACCAATCTCAAGTGGATTCTGGGGTAAAGAAAAATAAACCATCAACAGGAACATCATACTCCTCCCAGTGAAGGACTGCAGATGCTGGCAAGCCACAGTAACACCTGCCCATCCCCGACCCCAGACGGCTGCCAGCCCGCAGACCCTGAGGCACAACGCCATGGGCAGAACCTCAGGAAGCAGGGAGGAACAAGTGAGTGCACGTTAACAGTCTCAATGGCAATATTATTCTTTCTTTTTTCTTTAACAATTAAATCTGGACTAACAATAATCACACTTTGAAAATTTCACTTACATGAAGAATAAATTCTTGGTTTTATATACACAACGTGTGTTTCTTCTTTGCCCATAAACAAGATGTGAGTGTAAGACACTGCAGCTGTGCTGCCCAATAGCTCCTAAACCATTAATGCTGTAGCACCATCAGCACAGTACTACTATTTCAGAAAGAGTAAATCGTAAATATGTCAGGCTAGGGACTGTGAAGTCTGCAACTGCATGTTAACACAGAAGCACTTCAGTTTCTTTATCTCAAAGTTTATTGTGCTTTAAACATAAATTCAACCAGTTAAGCATAGAACTTAAAAATTGCTATGTTATTTTGAGAACTTATCCAGTGCAGGAGTGGTTTTGAACACTGAAGCAGAGTTTCCACCTTTACCAAATTGGAAAGATTTATATTAATATTTGATCTTTGTTTCTCTTACAGTCACTCAAGGAAGTGAATGAGAAAGCTGGTGCGGATACAGTACGAGCTGCACAGAGTCAAAATGCTCTCCCACTATTGCATCCCTCAATCTTAATTCTGGGGATTCAGAGCTGGTCAAGTCACTGCACCTAAATATTACTTCATATTAAATCCACTATCTTTTAATATCATGGTATGAGATTAGGACTGCCCCTTTTCCCTTGTGTTTTCTCTTTCCTTACTTTAAGCAACTTCTCCAGGGCCTCATATTTCCCTAACAAAGGTCACAACTGAGACCTTGTCGTTACTGCTTGCCTCCTCCAGCTGTGATTTCATTTCACTTCCTTCTCTTCCTGCTTTACTTTGGTACTAACACTAAATAATGCTTTTAGCCCTCCAACAGCCAGCTGAGGAATCCATAAGCAGCCTGAGGATAATTCTTGTTATGAGTATCATCACAGAAAGAGTGACTGAAATCCAAGTACATAAATGCATGATGAGACACCTCAAGGATTTACAGTTTAAATACAAACATGACAGTGCAAGAAAAAGAATTGTAAACCAATGTACACGAGAAAGAGACAAGCATAAATTAAGTGAACTAAGGTCGCAAGTTAAACCTTTCAAGCCTAGTACCTTCACTAGAAGACTGTCAGTTGCTAGAGAACATCAGTATGGACTTGAAAACTCAAGGCTGTGAAATGTGTTCACCTGATTCGTGTCAATATAAACAATGCTAGGGCCACATAATAAAATGTGACCCTCACTGTGTATGTAATCTTTAACCATTTTGTTGTTCCTCGTATAACCGCAGGCTGGGAGGAGACAGATGATATGTATATAGTTCTTTTTTTCCAGCCCAAAACCAAGAGATCCTAGGGGAGAACTGAGGCATTTAAATGTGTAGCTAGCCTCAGAGATTGCAGTACTTAGGGTCTTGATGGGCAATTTGCTGTATCCATTTGTTGAGGGGGAGATGTCTGTTGTGAACTTGTTTGGGTTCTGGTGATCGCAGCTGGTGTTGTGCAAGGTGTCGGCTGTTGCACAGGATGTCTGCTATCTGGCCCGAGCAGTGGGGAGCCTGTTCGGAGATACATTGTATAGAAGACCCTCAGCCAATGAGGAGAGTTCGAGAAGTTTCTAGGAGAACTACTGCACCCACACAACCAGGAGGTGGAGAGTCTTTTAGAAGAACATGCCTAGTATGAATAAGTAACTAATGTTAGACTATAAAAGAAGCTGGGTTGCTTTTCACAGCGCCCATCTTGGTAGAGCAGAGGCTGCAGGTGTGCCCAGCGCTGTTTGCTTGCCTTTATTCATTTAATAAATTGTAAACTTCGATTGGAATCCTGTTTGAGACTAAATTCATTTATCACAAGGCTGCAGGGCAAGATAACAGCATCTGACACTGTGGATAAACAATGCAGTATCTCACCCACCTGTTTACCCTGAGTGCAGATTAACTCTGGCAGCATGGAAGCAAACTCACTTCATGGAAACTGACTACTAGTCACCTTTTAAGACAAAACTTCCAGGTTTTGAAAAAGATAAAAAAAGAACTGGTGATATGTCAAGTTATAAAATAAGGCAAAGAGGCCAACAGTATTTTTCCCGATGGGTGAGGATCATTTCCAAGAGGATACTGCAGTTTTGAAGCTGGCTACATAGTCTTCTGTGTAAAATGATTGTGAAGAGAAATGGAAATAAAATTGGAGGAGCCACATATGGTATTTCTGTCTGAGATCTTTCAGAAAATTATTACAAGCTTCAGACGTTAGCAAACAATGCAAACATATAACAAGATATACACAAAAGGGAATTTATAACAGAAATACTTCACCTTCTTAGCTATAGCAACAATAACAAGAACCATTATTAATATTTGCAATTCCTAGACTTAAGTAGTTATTATCACATCCTAACAATATACCAGAAACCTAAATATCCCCCATGAACACAAACGTGCGCGCACACACACACAAAATTCAAGTATACCCCTCACAGGCATTAAGAGCTTTGCCGTGTAGAGCAGACAGAGGAAGGCTGGGTCCCTCTGCTGTTAGCAGGCTAGCTCAGTCCTGCACCTTCACCACAGAGCCTGCATCAGAGCAGACCTCCGGGCGGGGGGGGGCAAGTGCTGGTCAGGAGCTCACAGAATCGCTCCTATTTACAATCCAAGGTTTATACACTTTAACTTAATAATAGAGTGCATTCTGCCACGACACGACGTTTATGGGCACATTTTGCCTTACTGCAAGACAGAAAAAGCTTTTTACAGATACAGTTATCACAGTTCAAAATAAACTAGATAAGCAGTCTATGCATTCACAAAGAAATTTCAAAGTCTGAACAGGTCTTCTCTCTCAGACTGCTCTCCAGAATAGCTTTAATTAAAGATAAAAATGATATGCACAGTACCTTTAACACAGAGACCTTAGAAGAGACTCACCTCACAGCAGGGTTCTGCTGCACTGAAGTACTTCTTAAAAGAGCACTTAAATGAAATACTTCCCATTGTCATTTATCAAAACTCTCACTCCATCTACTCAGAGGTTTATGCTTTTTTCCCTTTGTGAAGTTTTACTATCTGATTGCCTAAGCATATGTGGTAAGTATGCTGGAAATCATGGTTACTAAGTACCACAGATCAGCTTCCTATTGTAAGTACCACTGTAACAAAATGCACATTTTTACAAGGAGGGGTGCCAGAATGCTGAAGAAGGACGGCAAGTGGAACTTGCAAGAAAAGGGAGGATACCTAGACTGGCACATGAGAGGGGAGCAGCCACAAGGAGTGTGTGGCTGAGGAGCATCCCCTTTTGTGACATGTCAGACTGTTAGGAGGATATGATTTTCTAGCTCCACATTTTCCTGGGAGGATACCAGAGCAATGGGAAACACAGCTGCACTAGCCACACATGCTGCTTAACACTGAGTCTGGGAAGTAGGCCTGTTTAAATATTCCATGCCACAATCACAGACTTTCACCAAGGTTAACGAATCAATGCAAGACCAAAATATCTTCCCCTCAAAACTACTATTTGAAACCAGATCATTTATTTTACATACTTATTTTTTAATTTTTTGTACTTTGTAAACCATATGCTTACTGATTAGACATACCAGTTTAAACAACTGTGTAACATTTGCCATATGAAACTTAAAAATAATGTAGGAATTCATTAAGTATGGTTTAAAAAGAAGAAGATCTGAAAGTGTATTTTTCTTCCTTAGCTATCACAAATTTGGAAAACTTGTACAACACTTTATTCTTGAAAGTAACATCTAACAAAGATTAAAGTGGCTGGAGAGACTGCAGATGACATGACTGTGCGAACACTCATATATACTGTGCTTCTGCATCATCGTTTCATTTAACAGAAACAATGAGGCCTGGAATTTTTAAAGCCATTTTAGGGACTCAAACACCTAAGAATTTTTAGAGTTATTATAAAACAAGTGTTCAATATTAAGACATCCAGATCTTGGAAAGGGTCTTTACACTCAGTTTCGGAGACGCATTTTACAAAATAAGAACAAGTTTTCAAAATATGACAATGACAATTTAAATGTTTCTTGAAACAAAACAAAAAACCTTCCCAAAGATGAAAGAATATATGCATGCCATACTGAAAAGTCTCATGATATGTCCCAGACCCATCACATTTTCAAGCTGGTTCTTACATTTAATTGAGAGAGACAGCCTCTGTGTATCTCCCTCTCAAACCTGAATTCACTGCTCTGCTTCAATTCTGTACTATACTCTAAAGGCTCTGTTAATTGCATGTAGGAAAGAGTTCGAAGTCACTTAATGTGTGAGAGGAGTGGAACTGTGTAAGGACAGCTGAATACTAAGGATAATAATAATTTAGGTACAAAGGCCTAATGAAAGATCCATACATGAACTACTGGTCCTCTATATCCCATTGCATTAAATGCAAACCAATGAAAACTATTTGGCATCTAACCTAAGCATAGTCCATTCAAATAAGCTTAGTATTTCTCAGTGAGGCATAAATATTAAATTAGGCTTGACTATTATAAAATGTAAAGCAATCACAGAAAAAAAAAAAAATCCATGAAATAAAGAGTTACATGAGCTTTACAGGTCACTACACTTCATCTGTGGAATATTCTAAGATTATCACAGTGACACACCTACCCAAAGCAGGAGTGATTTCTTGAGTAGATACTGTTTCTCTGATGAGAGTTAGTATGTTTGCTCTTGCTTGGCCACACAGTATTTTGTATCAGGAACTTTATGATGAGAAATTTTCTTTTAAAGGTATACATTATCATTAGTCTTTCTACTGAATTTCAGAGCAAAGAACCCCTGTGTTATTCATCTTAAGACATCTTCCTGGTCTTTCTCCCCCTCGAACACCAAAAATTGCATGACCATCTATGGTCTTTAATTCTGTTCTGCTTTAGATGGTTTGAAGAAAGAAACCATGGTTTTATAATTGATAAGCATATGTAACATGTCTATCAGATTTGAAGACAAAATATTTACCTACTAAAGACGAGTATTTTAAATAGCAACAATCAATTTTTACTCAAAGAAAAATATTTGTGTTACAATAAATAATAAATGCAAACATCTTTTAAAACATAAAACTTTCTTAACTGTAAAATTGACTCAAAATGTCATTACTTAAAAGTTAGGAAATCTGAAATGCTAGGGTTTCTCATTCAGAAGATCTGAATGTTTCATTTTCCTTTAATCACACTGATTAAATTTTATGGCCACTTCAAATTTGTTATTACATCACAAAACAATAAGAAGGCCAACAGAAAGTAGTTTTTACCCACCAAGGTTTGATTTTACACTGAAAAAACCTAATGGGCTGAATTAGAAAAACTACATGTAGGAAGAGGTCATAAATCCTTGTTTGCAGGATAGCTGATTGTAGACAGTACCACGTTAAACCAGTATTAAGAGACAGCATCAAAAAAAAGTCAGAATGACTTATAAAAGCAAGGCAAACTTTAAAAAAAAAAGTAGCATAATTAATTTTAAACACCTACTTGCTTCTGTAGCCACCGTTGCCGCCGCCTTTGTTTTCTCCTCAAGCTTTTCAACTTGTTTCTTTCTCTCTTACTCAGCTTTTGGTTGAAGGAAATACTTGTAGGCTGCACAAGACCAACAGGTGTGATGTATTTTTCCTCTGCTACAACACTTGTAGGTGAAGAAAGGTTCATCACAAAAGGTGACCCATCAGCAATGGCACTCCCAGAAGATCGTCCAGTAGCTTCAAAATCACACTCACTTTCTGCTTCTCTATGTACTAATGTGGTAAAGGAAGTAACTCTAAACCTTTTTTGTAGTTTGTTAGCACTGGAACTATATAGGTCCTGAAAAGAACTACCATCTTTCCTATTGGACTCTAATTGCAAGCCACTTCGTGTGTGAGCAGGTGGATTTTCATTTTGGCCATGGTAAATTGTTCCCATACTGCAAGTTTCATATAACACAGATGACAAAACAAGTCTCTCTCTGATATTTAAATCCAAACTATGTGATCTTCTGTGAAAAGCTTTTACAGTGCATGCATCATTCATAGGATAGGAAGCAGAAAGATTTGGGGTTGGATTTAATGTCTTTAAGGGAACTTTTTTACTTTTCATCTCAAATCTGGGAGCTCTTACTTCCAGACAAAGTGCTTCAGTTAATCTTCCAGTGCCATTGTTATTTCTGGCCATGTATGAAAGCCCTTGATTTTCGATTTCCAAAGTTGCAGTTACCACTTCATGGCAGGTATCCTTGCTAAAACCAGACTGAATTTTGAGGAGAGGTAAGTGTTTTCCTGATGATTTTGCCAATTTAACAGAGAAAGCTGGCTGATAGTCAGTCTGACTTTTGCAGAAATGTATATTTACTACCTGTCCACAGGAACACTTTGTGTTGCAAACAAAGTTAAAGCCCCCTAAACAGGCCTCACAGAATGGACAGTGCAGTTTTCCAATTGTCCACTGTGTCTATTAAGAAAAGAAGAAAACACGCAACACATTCATTGTAAATAAACGATTAAGAAATCATTACTAGAGTTACTTTTCTCCTTTAATAAAAGGGTCTACTTTTTGTTTTTCAAACACAATAAAAGGGACTTCACAGCAGAAAGAAAATCCACCATAAATAATGTTCTGGTCAAAACTCTGCTTGCTGCAGTGATAACTAATTCTAAGAAATCTAGAACACACATTTCAAAATGTAGGGGCTTTGAAATATGTTTAAAATTTGTCCATAGATAGAATAATGCTGCAATACTAATGAAAACATTAGATACTTTAAAGCAGTGAAATCAATTTACCATGTTAATCTGGAATTGGCAAGCACACTTTCTCAGCTGAGTCTTCTGAGTGCTGATACATTTCTTGCATACTAAGTAGAGTGGAAGGAGATTTCTTACAAAAAGAATATAGCTTTTTACTTTGCTTTCCCTATGAAAGCTTGAAATGGTACTTGTATTTTGGTGTATGTAATATTACAACATAATCTGTGTGCAGATACCATGACAAATCCTTAATAGTCTATCTATACGTAGACAGTTATTTTCATTATTTGTAATTCTATGAATTTCATTTCAATACCAAAGGCACTTTTTCAAAAGGAAATATGCATCAAAGATCTATAAACTCCTACACATTTGCACAACTATTAGTGTTTTCAGTAAATATATTCATCTGTCAGCAGAAACATTCTTGAGGATTAAAGTTATGCAAGTATTTGTAGGATCAAAGCCCAGATGAGAAACATTATCAACTCCAGTCACATGTTACTCACTAGTGTGCCTGAAGTGGAGTTGAGCCATGAATACAGAAGCTGCCCAACATTTCATTGCTTTCAGTTGCAAATGTCTTTCAAGGTAGTTTGGGAAAATGATTCCATGGCTGATGCTTCAGAAAGTTTCAGTAAAACAAATTTTGCTGTTTCAGAAAAAAAACTTTTGTGGAAAAAAGCTTATTTTTCACATGCAATGCTAGAAAAAGTTCTGGAAACACTTCTTTGAGAAATGTACTCCTGCCCTGTGGGTTAAAACCTCAGGATTTCACAAAGTATCAAAAACATGCCTTTCATTGCGCCTATGAGAATCTGTTTAAATTTGGACACGTTTTTTAACTTAGAGAAAAAAAAAATCTCTGTTTACATATGCCCAAAGGCTTTCAAATCCCTGAAAATATCTTGAACATGCACAGTCTCTCTCAGTTTATAAGGCTGACCAATGTGTGCATATGCCATTCACAAAGAAGGATTAAGCTGGTTCAGAGATTTAGTGTAAGTCTCCCACACTCCCTTTCCCAGATGCCATGGGCTAGGCACTAAAATTCAGGGAAAAGCACTTTCTAGTGCCTTTAGTGAGTATTTCTGGCATTCAGGGGCTATGGAATAGTAACGTGAATCTCCAAATAGAGAGGAGTGACTCATGAAGGTTAGGGAAGAAGGCTAGGAGCCGGGCAACAATGAGAATGCAAGAGACAGCCGGGAAGAAAAAGGACATCTCTATGTCCTACATGCGCAGAGACTGGGAGATGAGGTGCAGTACAAGGGAGTTCAGGACTGATTTAGCGTGAGTTTGGCAACGGACTGTGGAAGCATTGACTCAGTAAAAGAACTAACAGCCTACTAGTGGAGGAGGTGGTAGGGGGGAAAATCAGCCAGATCTGAAAAGGAGCTGAGGGTACACAGATTTAATGATGGGCTGCTTAAAGAGAAAAACTGGGAAGGGTTAGCCAAAGAAGCTAAAACAAGTGATCAGTGATGGGGAAAAGAAAATGCAGGTCAATGAAGGTCACTAGCAGCACTAGCTAGATTTATAATTATTGAAGATTATCTATACACTAATGTGTGCATGAAACCCAATGAGATTGGTTAAGAACAGGGACAGATGGCAAAAAAGAACTGGCTGGGAAGCAGTGGGTTTTTACAGCCTGCAAATAGACTTTGTGCTTATGTAAAATGATTTAGCCTTTGATTCAGGAGTCATACAAGAGAAAATAACACATGATCACAAAATTATTCAGAGCCCAAGAGGATCTGGGGATAAGTCAGAATTGTTTAAAAAAAACCCCACATTTATCCATAAACCCACAGGATCTTTCCAGAGAAGTCAGAAGTGAAGGAGGCAAGAGTTCCCAGGATATTAAAGAACAATATGAACACTAAAATATTGAAGGTGTTCATAGAGAACTGCATTCTCTGTCTCTGCCACCAGCAGAACATTGCTCCTTTGCAATCTTGAGCAAGTATGTTAAACCTTTGAGCAGCCTATGGGGTTTTGTATTTCCCAGGCCTCCAGCCTGACCCTCTAGGCTTTCAAATGCAGAAGGCTGGACATTTACAGCTACAGGTAAAAAGAATAATATTAGTATCAATATTGAATCCAATTTTACTGAAATAATGTAACATGCAAAGTAGTGTAAAAAACTGCATCCTTATGATGAGGCTTTCAAGATTAGGCAATTCTGTCAAATGGGGAAATACCTCACCACGCCTAATTTTCACACACACCCCCAAGATTAATGTTTCTGAAATAGATACACTAGTTTGTCATGCCCTACTGAAGTATAAGAGATCATTAATTTTTAAAAATGTTTAATTAATGTTTAACAAAATAAAACAGAGTGAAACAATGAAGGAAGATGAAACAAATTTTCTCAATTTTTGAATGCTTAGTTTTACAGTCATAACATTTTTTTTCTTTGTGTATCATTCTGAGGGTGGATTTGCTTAGATCAGAAGTTACTTGCATTATAGTAAAACTTAGGACACTGAAGTCTAAGCAGAAAGGAATGCAGATACCATTTGCCTCTCAAAATCAAAGGCTCATCAGAGAAAAACTGTAGGGCAAAAGAAAAGCACTGTTTCTGCTTATTGTATCTATGCAACAACATTAACTTCTAGACCTAAAATAACTCAAAGAAAACGTCCAACTGAAGCAATCAGTACAAGAAAGTTATGAGATGGTTTGTAGTTTCAAATGGGGTGTTAAAACTCAAAAGCAGGGACACTGGCTTGTCATCAGACCTTTGAATTTGCAGGAAGGAAACTACTTTCTATTCATATGACACAACAGCACATTAAATTTAAAAGGCATCACATCATATTCCAACAACTGATCTCTTAACAAACCCCCAGTCCTGTCTTATGGAGAAACACACTTCTTACTGTCACTGTCAACATATGCATTAGTACTGCAAGACACAATGATCAAGACAAACCAAAACCCAAAGCCTAGATAACAAACATAATTTTAAGCATTGACAAAATATGCAGAGGTGCCCATGACAGTTATTTGGACAAACACAAATACATTCATCTATAAATGGGCAGGAACACAATTTATCACTTGCAGATTTTGTGCATACAAAAAAAACCCCAAACCACATTTAAGAGGGAAAAAAGCCTCTGTAAATGGTAATGATAGAAGTTACTGATAAAAATTCACTCAGAAGGTCTCTGTAATAGACATGGGCCTTGGGAAAAAAGTGCCCTTGAAATATGTTCTCCTTACTTACTTCACATTTTGAACGATAAAGATGCAAGCAAAAAAAGATCTACCTTTTCAATGACACATTTCACCCACTCTGGAACAGCTTCTAAGTTCACATGCCATACATTGCAAGACTCCTGAGCAGCAGCTGAAGGTTGTGATGTCTGTTAAAAAAAGAATTATTGTATTGATATTCAACATTAATGTAAGCTTTTTTTGTTTGAATATAGCCAGAAGTCAGCTTCCCAAATTCAGTAAATATTTTATTACCAAATGATAAAGCTCAAAGATGTAGGTACATTCTTTAAGCAAAAAACCAGGTAGATGCTGTCAATAATTCTCTATTACTGAACCTAAGGACATTGGACAGACTCCACTGTGGAGATGGAGGCGTTTGGAGGTGGGTTTGTTTTGTTTACAAGAACAGAAAGTATGCAACTGATGATCTTCTAAGTATATTCAGAAATTTATTTCAGAAGCACTATCAGCTGGCACAATTTTACAGTAAAGATAGGAAAATTTAAGATCTAGTTTATAAGAAGACTGTGGTTAGTACTGCACAACTATGCCACAAACAGTTTTAAATTAATTTTCTAATGCTTGTTAGAATAACTAGCAGAGAAACTAGGGACCCTTAGCAACTTTTGAGTTTTTACTGCAATGATGTGACCAACTGAAGAGAAAACAAAATCTAAACAACTGTAGCATTTCACTAACTGATACTAAAATAAAAACAATTAACTATCTTTTAGCACAGAAGTGATACAAGTGTAATTAAATCTTGTAATATGGTTTAGAATGTCAGTAGAGTTATAAAGATGGCTAAAAATACAAGGAAACTCTGGTGAGTGTTAAAGTCTTAAAATCAGTTGTTAAAATTTATGAATATGGAAAATTACTGACTCCTATGTTGTGAAACCCATGGGAATAAAAGTTGCATTATGCTGAAAATTGGAAGTGGGGCTATACACAGAAGAGAGAAGGTTTTAGAAATTCTCCAAATAATAATAGCAGACAGATAGATCCATTTGCCATGTCTATGCTTCCTCCTATCTGTGGAGAGTACCTGTACTCCAACTTGGATACAATTCTGATTTAAAGTGTTTATACTGCATTCCTAAGTTCAACATTTGGTTTTAAGACTTGTTCTAAGATTTTTCTCTTTTACTCATATTTCATCTATGTCTTTGACTGAAGGTCTAAAATTCATCAGGGAAAGCCAACATACTGAAAACATTACTCTTTTCATCATAGTACAATCTTTGCCTCCCAGTGTCTTGGGAAGTAGTGTTAAATTATGGGGTTTTATCTGCTATCTACATAATTAGAGAAGGAGCTACGTCAGTCTTGTGCACAATGATGGTGGATCTCCGCTAGCAATTAAAAGCTCCACAATGGGGCATGGATGAAGATACCCCCTTCTTTTCACTACATTTTTTCCATGAAAGGAGTTGAAATTGTCCCCCCTGCCCCGCAAATGCTTCAAACCATGCACAAAATAAAACTCCTCCAGTATAAAGCATGAAAAATATTCCAGAACCTCAAGCTCTGTAAGTGGAGTGATTAAAATGGGTTTCACTAATAATATTAATTATATCAGGTTCTTAAAAAATAATAACTTTATTTCTACCTCTGTTGTTGTACCCTCCTCCATGCCAAAAAGAATGTTGTTGTATTTCTAGTGCGCTAATAAAAAATATCAACACCTTCGTTTCTATTTGCTTTTTTGCTTTGATTCAAGATCATAAGATGTAAGCACAGCCTTCTTGGCATATCTGGAAAGACTCTAACTCTTTATGATTACTAACTGCCATTATATAGCTGCAGGAAATACTCTGTCATTCTTTTATGCTGTATGATTATTTTTCTGTTTATTTTAATAAAGATGATGTAAATTACAAAGTGGTATTTTTAGTCTGGCAGGGCATCCCCCTCTTAGGGCAGGCTAATCTTCTGAACTATTTTTGTGCACAGCCTATCCCCCACTTTTTCAAAATGAAAAGCAAAAGTTTCTGATGTAGGAATATTTGACACACAGTTAACTACTGCAGTGGAAATTAGTGTCAGTATTTAAAACACACATTAGAAAGAAAGAGTTCTCTATTAAGAGATATTTAAAGAAAAAAATTACTTCATTAAAACTGTCAAAAATAGAACCCATTTTTATATGAAAAATGGTAACACTGTATACTCTACACAAGCTAGTAGTCAAATGTATCATGAATACCAGCCTTTATGTCACAGAACATAAAGGTGATCACTGCCTACTTGGCTTCACTAGCATTACTGCTTACATTATTCTCTATGGAATTGTCCATATTTTAGTACTTATATCCATAGGAGATTAATTACTAAGGGAGGGCAAGTCCAATACTTCTCCTTTATTTAAAACCAATGGCACTGGAAAAAGTTACAAACTCCGTCCAGATGCTATACTTACTCTGGATGGTTCTTTTCCATGACATTTTGCAAGGCAAACAGAATTTGCTATATATTTTCTACATCTCCAGCAACGTAGAACATCAGCCTCTTGGTTACTCATTTCAACTTGTGATTCTTCAGCTCTGTATGTCTATCTGTAAAAACCACTAAACATACAATTCAGTCACCTGTTGAAACCACACACGCTTTCCTCTTGCGACCCAGAAGTTTATCAGTAGTCTCTTCACTATAGAGGAGACTAATACTTTACTTACAAACATACTCTGATCTTGTATAGCATGCCACCTGGACTTTTTAAATAGCAGAGCAAAACAGTTGTTTTTATTTCCAGGCTGCATACAGAACTGGAAAACAACAACAACAACAAAACATATAAAAAAAATAAACCAACTTCCTCAATGTTTAGACAAAGGACAAGAGAACTGCAGTTTTCCCAGAATATGTCTGTAGAAATAAGTCACCGCTATCCTACATGTTAAATACACACACACATATATATGTGATGCCACAGAACAAAAATGAATGCTGATGTAAACCCAAAGAAGACAAAGACTGTTTTCTCAATGTGCCTCTGGAGGCTTGCTCCCTTAAATTACTTTGTGTGGGAGGATCAGTACCACTGGTGCAACAGAGTTTTTCACAGACCTGAATCAACCTCCTTGTAAAACAGAGACCTAAATTACGACAACCAGAAGGACAAGACAAATATTTTTCTCTCTTTGTGCCTTGCTGTGTTCTGATGTCTCTCTGGTCTTCTCTAACCTGTTTCCAAAGCCGCCTCTTTTCACCATGCTTTCTCCAAAGGTCCTCCAACTCTTCTTTCTACCTGCTTCTGGTTTTACTCCCTTGTGCTAGTTACATGAAAAAAAAAAGAAAATCTTTTACATCTACACACTCAACTCAAGCACTATGCTAGGGTTATGCCTACTCATAGTGCTGAAGTGCACAGTGTTTACTGACAGGGAAGCTGGGGCATAAAACTTAAAACCAATGTTAAAAGAATCTCTGTTCTGTCCAAACATCTGATTTTGCAATTATTTCAACAATTTAATTTTTATTTAGTTTTCACTAACTAAAGAAACTCTGAGGTCCTCAGTATAAGCTGCCTGAAGACTAGTTTGGCTTATTGAGCAATAGAGACTTCTGCATTTTGCCCGTTTTCCTCATTTCTACCTTTCCCTTTTCTGCCTTGGCTTCTGAATTAATCAAAGACTATGAAATACACACACAGAGGTTATTAATTATTTTTAATTTATATCTGATGTCTTCTTTCAGCAGATTTCCTACTTTTTCTACATATGTAAAGATTCTGAAATACAGTTTGACAAGGAAGAACAGAAACAACATGTGCATACATTAGGCTCCTAGCTCAAGTGTACATGCAGCTTTTAATAACCAGATCCACACTAAGCTTAGAAAGTGAAATTAAGGCAAACATTAAAACTTTTCTTGCAGTGTCACAATAAATTAAAATGAATTTTTGTTAAGATTCCATTAACCTAAGTTAAGATGGCCAAGCAAAAGATCATGGAAGAGACACAGAAAAGGCAGAATTGACACTGGAAACCTGTCTTGTTCATGACAAAAATGTGATGATTCAAATGCCGTGACTTGAGCAGAATCACTCTCAAGTTTTTATTAAACTCGCTATGCTACTTTCTGTACCAGACACATTGCGAAACTGGAATGTATAAAAATGCTGGACTTCTCAATGAATGACTTTTTTTTTAAATAAAAAAGTAGGTTCAGGCTCTGAAAGCTTTTTACAAGCAGTGTGTATCACTTTGCTGTGATAAGTGCAGCATTAGACTTCACAGGGTATTGAAAGAATGATTACCAGTTATTAATTTGTTTGTATTGCTCAAATACCTCAAAGCTGTTCTAATTAATTTATTCTTCACAATTTCATAGAACTTCTAGAATTAATTTAATCTTAAAACAGCTCAGTGAGAACCTCATACCTAAGTCCAACCAGGAAGGACTGAAAGACGGAATGAAAGACTTTTGCATAGAGCTAGCTCAGATGTGCTTTTCAGGTACAGCCATATACCCATCTACTAAAATACATTATTGAAATGTACTACAGTTAGTGATACACATTTTGCACACCTTATATGCTGTATCTGTGTATTCAAATGGTATATATTTAAGTCTCTCTACACATTCTGTTCCCCTTACGCTAATTGTTACAGAAAAAGCTGTTTTGCTATCTTGAACAGCTGCTTCATCTGAGGCTGATGATGCTTACTGGAGCGGAGTATGAAATAATTGGTGACCTCTGAACCAACAGATAAAGGGAGGGATAAATGCACTTGCTGTATTTAAAAGATGAGGTTCAAGTCATGCAAACAAAGGCTGTCTAAGGATCACTGGCATCTGAAGTGATGCAAATATCCCCCTCACCTGAACAATATCTAGCAAGCAAGCAAGCAAGCACTCCTTTACTGCAATATAAAAGCTCTATTTTTTTTTAATGATTTATACACTTTAAAAGTTCCTTCTTAGTTCTGCATATACCTCTCATTTAAGAATACACTTTCATAACAGAAATGAATGTATAATATATGTAATAACCCAGAGAGCACAGGTTTTATATAACCAAGAATGCTGATAGTGAACTACATGGAAAAAACTACCTCAAAGTGCAAAAACTTTTTAAGACTCTGTTATAGCAGACTGAAGTGTTCTTCTGGCCTAGCAGAATTTAAAAATGAAAATTCCTGTAGGTCTGTTAAAATTCTGCATGTACGTGCCTTCTGCAGTTCTTACAGAGGACAGAAGAAACACTACAAATGCACGCTAACACATTGCAGAGGTTTCTACATGTATCATGCTAGAAAACAGCAAGTGACATGTTTGATTTGTCACATAAGCATTCATTTTTATTTTGATTTGCATCTAACTTCAAGTGGAACTCAAAGCATATAAACAGAGGATTTTGAAACGTTTCTATAATTAAATGCAGTTAAACCTTACTGTTCTGGATATATTTTAATAAGTTTTTATTTATCTTCCTTTGCATATAAAACTAGTAAAAGGCATCTTGGCCTCACCTTGCTTTGTCTTTCAGCAAAAAATGCCAACATAAAGTTAAAAGATTCCAATCTGGCACTCAGAAACTAGATAGTATCACTCTCAGTGGGCCTTTTCAGCTTGGCACTGGGCCACTTTCTTGTGGCTGTACTGCTTTCAGATCAGTTGCTTTGTGTGAGCTCATGTTTTCCTCCAAAATAGCATCTAGACACATTCGAGTGTTACAAGGCCTATGCTCCTCCATGGCTCTTGTTTTATGTCCTTCAAACATTTTTCTAATGATTCAGTCCCCCAAAAAACAGGAGCAGAGGGTCCTAAGACTTCCTTCCCAAGGCAGAGTCTCAGTTCCCTTTCTTGAAAACCGTTTGTCTAACCTTCTCTTACAGACCTTTGATGGAGATTTCACAGCCTACCCAAACTATTTAATTACCTTATCTTCTCTTATTTTAACTTTTCCCCTAACATCTAACCTGAATTTTCTTGCAATTTCTCTTATTTGCTGTGAATACAGAAAACAAAACGGCTCCTTTTCTTCCATGCAAGAACATTTTACAACTTTAAACACTTATTACATATTAGCTCCCCTTCAACCTGCCTTTGGGCTAAATAAATCCAGTTCTTTCCATCTTTCCTCACAGACCATGCTTTCTTGATCTGCAACTGTAACTGCTATTTCGTGAACTCTTTCAAATGGGTCAGCTATTCTTGCACAGCAGTATTCAAATCTGGATGCAGAACTCAAACTGAAGTTTTATCAGCACTGAGTAGACTGGACAGATAATATAAATTTTCAAGGAAAAAAAAAGAATGGAGAATGCCTTACTAGGGTGGAAACTAACACAAAATTCACTACATCTGTTTGAAAATGTTGTTTCTTACATTTATAAGGGCAGAAAACACTGGAAGATTAAATAACTACTCCCCAGCAGCAAACAATTTTAAAGTAATTTCAGCATAAGGTCCTTAAGATTTTCAGATTCATACATGCTCATCAATATATTAAGGGAAAAGGAAACAGGAATCATATTTTTTTCCCTCCTCCCACTCTATCTGGAAAACCTGTGAGCAACACCACAAAAAGCTAGTGGAACTATTCACAAAGAAAATAACAAAAAATAGGTAAAGGATCAAGCATCAGACATAGCAGCCAAAGAAATGGTAGAGCGCTGATCCGCTTCCTGTTTATTCATCACTCCTTGAATGAGACACTTTCCCTTCTGGCATGCTCTCACTAGTAGTAAGTCCCCTTTGATCATTATATCTAAGTTTCTCGTGCAATCTGAATTGTATAAGGTATTAAGCTTTGGCCATTTCTTCTTCAAAAAGATTGCTAGAAAATACGAAGTAAAATCTCACGAAAAAATTCTCAAATGTTCAAAGAGAAGAACTAAACACAAAACCCTAATTTTCCATTGAAAACCTGGTCTAGAATTTCTTTCCAACTAACCTGCCTCTCATCCCCAAATGCATAAAAATAAGAAAACGAGTACAGCAGGACAAGTGGTTCGTAATGCTTTTTTGTTCAAAAGTCACCTGTGATCCCTTCAGATCACTGCAGCCATGAAGATTACAATAATAATTAGGTAGCACTGAGAAATTAGGGCACAGAAACTTGAGCACTAGTTACTAGGAGTCTTGAAAAAATATTAGATGAGTGGAGGCTTTGAAGTGGAGGCTTGACAGAGAGAAGCTAGATGAGCTGTCCTAGCTAACAAGTGTCCATACCAGAAGTTCCTGCTCCCGAAAGGGAGGAACCGAGACTTTGCTGGACAGAGAAACAATCACGGAAGGCATTCAGGTACACATAAAAACCTGCTGCTAGCTTCTGATCTCCAGAGTATTTCTGCTTAAAGAGAGACTTTTAAAAGCACACTTAACCAGTGTTTCTCAATAAAGTAGCACTTAGATGGGAAGACAGAAGATAAAGTTTAGCGGACTGCCTCCAGGCTGCCAGAGAAGCAAAGCAGCAAGATGTGTGAAGAGCTGTGCCATCTGCTTCTGTGCCAATTCCTGCTCCGTTATGAACTCCAGTTCAGCTACTGCTGTGTGATCAGCTTCCATGTCACAGGCCACTGGCTGATGAGAGGGTGGCGAGCGTGCGATATTCTTCCTCTCGTAGCAAGAGTAGCCCATGTAATTAAAAGGCAGTTAACACCAAAGTGGGAAAGTATGTTACTTGCAGCATATTACTTAACTCGCTAAAAAATCCCACTGCATGCTGAAGTCAACAGGTCTACCAGATATAGCAAGAGAATGGGGAGTGTGTGAGTCGCTCTGACAGGCAACAGACCTGACAGGTCAATGGAAAGCCATGAATCTGCACGTAATCTCTTGCATGAGATCCCACAGACCAGCACCGCCCGCTTCATCCTCTTGCACGTACAAACATCAGCTGCTGCACAAAGTAAGAGACGAAACCAGCAGAAAGACGATGCCCTCGTCCCAGCCTAACACGAGCTCCTGACCGCCAGCCGCCAGGCAGCACAGCCGCAGCGGCTGCCCCGGCCGCCCCGCCG